CCACCACCACCCCCACCACCACCCCCGCCGCCACCACCACAACCACTACCACTACCACCACCACCACCACCGCCACCACCACCACCACCCCCGCCACCACCAGCACGCACCACCACCACCACCACCACCACCAGCGGCGACGACGACGACGAATACCACCACTGCTGCCACTACTGCTACCACTACTGCTACCAGTACCAGGCAGCCACTACAACTGCAACCATTTCGACAACTACGAGGACGACTACTGGTGCTGCGGCAAAGCAGCGGATGCACCAGCATCAGCAGCAGAAGCCGCGGCAGTAGCACCAGCAGTAACAGCAAAACAGCAGAAGTAGCTCCAGAAGCAGTCATAGCGGTGGCCAATACCAGTCTCAGGAGCAGACGCACCTAGCAGCAGCAGCTGCAATAGTAGCGGCGGCAGCAGCAGCAGTGCCAATAGCAGTAGTAGCAGAAGCAGTTGCAGCAGTAGAGCGTTGCTTTCTGTAATAGCCATGAGCACAAAATTGTGGTTGTGACCGCGAGTGCTGTTCAATTTGTATCAGGCAGCAGCGGCAGTAGACAGCGATACTTGTCACTATCGGGTCGCGAGGGCCGTTCCGAAATGTTTCCGGGATCCCACCATGACTTCTGACACGCTTGCTTGTCAGTATGTAATGCGGGCAATGGGGGTGTGCCAGTGCTTGTACAGTTCAGGGATGCTCAGGGCAGAGATTGCCTGGGAGCTCGGGTGCTTCAGGTACCCCAGATTCGGCACCCGCAAGGAACCACACTGCGAAAGAAGAGCCAATAATATATTCAGCCATGGATCTGCCAGAGGGGCGGTCACACTTCTCGGGCTGGTACCTCCGGCACAAGCATCTATTGGAATAGTTCGGGCTTCTGGCTTCCGCTTACAGTCGTCAAGCGGCACGCGAGATGATCGTGCTTTGCATGCCGGTTCTCGGATACCGGAATCGTGAGTTTCAGATGTTTCAAGCAGCGTCCAGTTCAAGCTTCTACAAGCCTCCAGTCTGTCAACCCCCTGGAGGTATGACATACAACCTCACACTCGAATCCCCGCGTCATACCAGTACCAGTAGCCAACAAGAGTAGCTGCAGCAGCCGGGAAGAGGTGACAAGCCCGAGCTTCTATCAACCTCGCACAACACCCGGCCTAAATGCCGGATACGAAACGCCGATCTTGTCGCAAGTCCTACCAGCGCTTGCGGACTAGAAATGGTGGGTGTTGCCGGGGTTCACATGTTGGGGCTCTTTCAACTAGGGCCCTAGGGGCGGAGCTCGTTCAAACGTCACCAGTAAATTGGGAAATCTGCCGCGGCCGAGAGAAGCGTCCAAGCTGTTCATAGTGTCTTCTCCTGGGAGCTTGATCATCAAGATCATGAACTCAGCCATCGACGCCGGTGAAGTTCTCTAAGCTCGAAACCAGTGGCGACTCAGGGAATTCACCCGCAGGCTCAGGGCTCCGGGCCCGGCACCTGGCCGGGCCTCTTTCATCTTGTGCTGCCCACTGCACTTTTCTACGCCCACCAAAGTGTCTCAATCTGACCCTTGTCTCCTACCAAAGTCATGCAAATCCCATCAAATCCCAAACTTGCAATCAAAGACCGCACGATGTGAACTCCTAAACTTAGTCAACCCCCAAGCCTGAACAAGACAACTCAAGCTTCTCCCTCCTGCCCGCAAGATCGAAGAGAGACCTGACGAGGCACGGACAGGGTCCATGTTCCTGAAGAGCTAAAGTGCAACCTACTTGCATCCTACACCCCAAGAGTCTGAAGCAAAGAATGAAGAGGTCTGTTGATTGGGATCTAGGGTCTTGAGGCCCTCGGGGAGGGCTGTTTGGGAGCTGAGATTTCCGTTCGAAGGCTGAGGTTCAGGGGGTTTTAGCATCTGCGAGATTCCAGAACGACAGTCCGCAATGAGCTAGGAAGTTACATAATGGATTACAGTAGGCTTAAGGAATGTCGTGTTTTTTAGAAGCCATGTCTGAGATTTAGGGTTCGGGTCGCGGCGTTGAGGCCGGGTGGCATCGTGTGCGTCGCAAGCACTGTGAAATTGAGAGCTTTGGTGGAGTTAGGATCTCGATATTTCGCTCTTGGGCTGGCTTTTCGTGTTGATATTCCCAATACTAGCGCGGCCGTTCTCCCAGCTATCCCTATCTCGACTGTGAGGTGGCTTCAAACCTTGCTTGAAGATAGTTATCTGCATTTCTTTCTTGGTCCCAGGTGGGGCTTGGGACTTAAAGCTTGTTGGTTCAGGATGATGGACGGACGCATTCTACGCGTCAGATCTGGGCTTCAGGCTGCGGGGAGTCATCCAAAGCAGAATATCGAAGGACCATTGCACTAGAATTGGCCACCGTGCCCTGCAAGGGTCAAGAAGAAAACAAGTAAGACTCCGGAGTCCGGAGGTGCCTCCCAACAGTCTCCAGAAGACTGTTGTAAAATCAGCCCGTATAGCCTCGTTGACAGAGGGCTCCTGAAGCCCAGACCTCAGCTCCTAAACCTCAAACAGCAAAATCCCCAACTTTATCCCGCCTGTCCAGCAACATTGCATTCTGCAGAGGCCTGAGCGCCCATGAAGCGAGGTTTCGAATTGCAGGTTTGGAACCGAATAGCAACAAGGCGTGCGAAGCTACCCGGAACACAGCCCCATGTGCAAATTCAAGGGCCCTGACAGTATGACTCAGAAACTCCGACGAACCCCAAACTGCCTTCAAAACTTAACGCTCCAGAAACACAGCCACGACAATCGCACACGCCCAGATCCGCAAAAACCAAACCTCAAAATCATGACCTGGAATCTCTGAAATCCCCACGAAGATGCAACCTCCAAAGCCCGCATCAACTACCAGAGGATCCTGCTGCTGAGATCCAACGGCCACGAGCCCAAGAATCTGAGTCTCAGCTAGGGCTCAGGCGCTGAGGGGTTCACACGCTCGTGTCCTCGACAATGATCGAGGACAGAGGGTGTGTGCGATCTGCATATTCTCATGTTGGATACGATGCAGTTCTCAACATGCCAGTCGGTTTGACCTCAAAGAATGTCTTAAATGGCTCCAGAATAGGTTCAAGAAGGTCCTGCTGGACGCTGCGGAACCACCAAATACCTTGGGCAGGCTTCCACGAATCCAAAATTTCTGAGATTACGGTTTGATATTAATCTTAAACGGTTAGAGTAGAATCTTGGTGTACTAGGAGGAAACGCAACTCGCTGAAATGAGTATATAATCCTAACAGCGGAGGCAGACGATGATGCGTGTGCCTTTTTGCTAGTCGGCGCAGTCTGGGTGGTCTTCCGTGAAAAATAAGGGCACATCCACATGACAGATGAGCGTTGCTGCTAGGTAGGGGCTTTGCCTGACAGGGCCCTGCTGGAAACAGGAATTTCAGGTTTGCTTGTATGACAGTACCGAAACTTCCAGTCGCAGACCCGTTTCCAGCCCAAGAGTTACCATCTTTAGAACGAAAAACATGAGTGTAGCTGTTCGTGGTCCTCCCTGTTATCAGCACTGGGAATAATTGCTGGATTGCTTTAAAAAAAAGGCAAAATGCCACACTGGGAACCAAAATGGTGAGTCAGAAAAGCCTTAAATAACAGTCACAGCACCAACGTATCTGGAATACGCCCTGAAATCAGCTTTCAGAGACTCTCCTCCGTCAATGTCTCTGGTGATGCTCTTTAGTGCAGGTTTGCTCATCAAGGGTGCAGGGATTACGCTGTGGCACCTTCAGCTGCATTCCGCTATTGCAGATCACCCTGTCCCTGCGTCAGGAACAGCAAACAGAACGACCGTTGAAACTCAGCATCTTGAAGCCTTCAGACCCTATGAATTCTTGGGTACCGGATGAATGATGCGAACAAAATCGAAAAAACAAGTTGCTAGGAGTGCAGCAATGAAGTCGGAGACTTCACTGCGCCTGCGCCATGGGCGCTGGTATCTAAGCAGCCATGGATGCTCTCAGAATTCTCATCTCGACCGACAAAAGTGATCTCCAAAGTGCCTCGCCAAAACCGTAGCAGCGACGACAATCTGAGAAGTCTAATGAGCTGCAAATTGCTCAGGGGAAGGGTCTCGAACAGTGCCGGACTTCACCACCTTTTATGAACCCTGAACGGAGCACTTCAATTACCAGCTCAGGTGCTTGGACTCAAAGCGGTGTGGTGCCACCGCAGCAGCCAGGTCGCCCACGAGCTCTGCACGAAGAGCGCCTCGTCAAGAGGGGATCCCAGCCAGACTGAGCTTTTGGTGTCATCCGCAAAAACGTATAAAAAGCAACCAACCTCCCAACTCGATGGGGTTGCCGGCAGGGCTAAACTGTTTTTCTTTGTCTCGCCTGATTTCAGGCTTGTGTTGAACCTTTGCGGTTGAACTCTTCGCGTCTCGTTTAAATGTCTTTAGTCTTGCAATGGCTCCTCTGCCCTATTCTTGATCTTCTTCGTCTACTAGTCACTTCGTGCTGATGGTGATGCTTGATATTACTGCTGCTGCCGAGAAAGTTTAAAGCCACAGCCACTGCTGATGCCGCTGTTGCTGCCTTGCTGCTATCACTTGCTGAGACTGCCACTACCACTATCACTCTCACTGTCACTACTAGTACTGCTGCTACTGCTGGTTCACTGCTTCGACGATTGCTGCTGCTGCTGCTGACCCTAACTTGCATCCCCACAAAGGCTGGGAGATCACGGTTCCAGCAATTGCGTCAACCGCTTGGTCATCTGTATTGCCGGCCTCCCTCGGCCGTAGCCACAGGTTGATGATGACCTGTGCAGCAACCGGCCACACAAGGTTAGGGCCTAGGGATTCGAAAGTTGGGGTTGAAAGCATGTCGTAAGGTGTACAGCTGCAGGTGGCAAGCCCAAGTCGCGAAACCAAAAACTCTCAGAAGATAAGACTAATTACGAACAAAAGGACTCAAATCACGAAACTCCTACAACCCACCAACGCAGCAACATCAGAACAGGAATTATATTCAGCCTTAACCTGTGATGATGCCGACTACACTTTCTGCATAACCTCTGGCAGCTATTACAACTAAAGATGTCCGGAATCCGGATCAGCAGCAGTACCATCGTCGAAATCATACTAGCCAAACGTCATATCGCCAGAACCATCTTCATCTTAATCATCGACTTCACGACCACCACCATTTTCAGGGACGCAGTCGTTCTCATCACACCACACCACCATCACTACTGGTCCTGTTCGTTCCGGATCGTGAACACCACCAGCGCCATCTCCGACATCGTCTTCGTCACCATCATAATCAATCTCATGACCATCGCCATCTTGCCTGATGCCAGTCATTGCTAGCATCACATCACACCACAATTATCATCAACTTCAGCATCACCACCACCACTACCAAGATCACCACCATCACACATCGAGCGTCAGCAGCGACTTAAACCGCCACCGCATCACCATCTGTCTCGTGCGATGTCTCACCTGTGCGGTCCAGCGTCAAACTGTTATTGCTGATTCTGCTACTGTCCTCGATGCTTCCAACTCCGACCCCTTCTCCGTCTCCGACTTCTACTCCTCTTCCTCAACGACTACAACCATGACTTCTTCTGCCACTGCCACTGCCATTGCCATGACCGCTGCCACTGTCACTGTCACTACCACTACCGCCACGACTGCGACTGCCACTTCGACTACGACGACGACGACGACGACTACTAACACTACTACCACTACTACCACGACTACCACTATTACCACTACTATCACTACTGCCACCACTACCACAACTACCACTATTACCACTACTATCACTACTGCCACCACTACCACAACTACCACTACAACTACCACGACCACAACCACGACCACGACCGCTACTACAAGCACCACCACTACCGCTAATGCTGCTGCTGCCGCTGCTGCTGCTACTTTTACTACTCCTACTAAGACTAATACTAATGCTACTACCACGACGACGACGACTACGACTACTACTACTACTACTGCTACTACTACTACTACTACTACTACTAATACTGCTACTACTACTACTACTACTACTACTACTACCACTACTGATACTACTACTACT